ACACACAATCAAATAGATCATGTTTTAGAAGACAATAGAAGGCAGACAAATGTAATTGATGTGAGGTTTTTCAGAGGAGCAGATTGTGACATTGATCATTATCTGGTGGTAGCAAAAGTGATGGAGAGGCGAAGGAAAAATATCAAGTTGAAATTTCGAATAGGATTCAAATTTTAGAGACAAATGAAGATAATGAAAGTGTGGACATCAACAGGGAGTGGGAGAATGTCAGAAACTGCATCAAAACTTCAGCCAAAGAGAAACTAGGATACTACGGGAGAAAGCAAAATAAACCGTGGTTTGATGTAGAATGTTCAAAATTAATAGATCGAAGGAAGCAAACAAAATTCCAATGGTTGCAGGACCCAAACAAAACAAATGCGTATAATCTATGTAACGTGAGACGTGAAGCTAGTAGAAATTTTAGGAATAAAAAAGGGAATATCTGAAGGGAAGAATTGTTGTACTTGTGACAAATAATAAGGAGAAAAATATCAGAGACCCGTACAGAGGCATTAATAACTTTAAGAAAGGATATCAACCCCAGACTAATTTGGTAAAGGACGATAATGTAAATTTGCTTGCTGATCCAATAAAAATTGTGAATAGCTGAAAAAATATCTTTAGCCAGCTCTTAAATGTTCATAAAGAATGATGATGTTAGACAGAATGAAATACATACGGCTGAACTGTTAGTGCCAGAACCTAGATCATTTGAAGTTGAACTAGACATTGTGAAGTGTAGAAGTTATAAATCTCCATGTATTGATCACGTTCCATTTGAATTAATTAAAGCGGGTGGCAAAGGGTTGCATATGAGAATCCTTAAGCTTATTCAGTTAATTAGGGATAAGGAAGAGTTGCCACAACAATGGAAGGATTCCATAATTATTTCTATTCATAAGAAGGGGGACAAGACTGAGTGTGGTAATTACCGAGGAATTTCGCTGCTATCAACCTCATACAAAATTCTATCAAACATTATTTTGGCAAGATTAACTCCATATGCGAAGGAAATTATTGGGAATCATCAGTGTGGGTACAGACGAAACAGATCAAAAATTGATCAAATCCTTTGTATTCGTCAGATAATATAGAAAAAATGGGAGTTCAGTGGGACCGTAAATAAATTATATATAGATTTCAAAAAAGCTTATGACTCTGCGAAAAGAAAAGTGCTATATGATATTCTAATTGAATTTGTTATATCAAAAAATCTAGTGAGTCTAATAAAAATATGCTTAAATGAAACCTGTAGCAAAATTCGAGTATTTAAATATGTATGAGTTTGCAAATGAATGGGACAAATCAACTATTGCCATATGTTGATGTTAATTTATAGGTGGACGGTATGAATACAATAAAGAGGAACGCAGAAGTTTTGCTAGAGGCCAGTATACAGGTGGTGCTAGAAGTAAATTCAGAACAATCTAAGTACATATATTAGTATCTCGTCAGTAGCCAGGCAGGCAGAATTATCTTAAGGTGGCTAATAAATCCTTTGAAAGTGTTACAAAGTTCAAATATTTGGGACAACAATAACAAATCAAAATGATATTCATGAGGAAGTTAGGAGGAGACAAAATTCCGGAAAAGCTTGTTACTTCTCAGTAAAAAATATTTTGTCTTCCCGTCTGATTTAAGAACCTGTAAATTAAAGTATACAAAACAATAGTCTTGCCTGTTGTTTTTATTGGTGCGAAACATGGTCTCTCACTCAGAGGGAGGAACACAGATTACAGGTGTTTGAGAATAGGTTGTTGAGAGGGATATTTGAGCCTAGGAGAGAATAGGACGGGGTATGGAGAAAACTGCATAATGATGA